AAGATCAATGACTTGATCTTCCTGGTGGCCTGCCACTCACTGCTCATCTGTCCCGCTGTGATGGCATGTCCCGTGACCTCAGGCCAGGCTTGCACTCTCTGCCCAGCACATGTGCAGCTATGCTTATTAGTCCCTGGGGGGCAAGTACGCAGCCACAAGGTGACAAGCACGAGCATCTTGCCGTGAAAAGACTTGGAATGATCCATTGAACAAATGAGAGAGATCTGAAAATAGTATTTCCTGGTATGAGTCGTGAAGAGGGCTTTTTGAACTAGCTGTAGACAACTAACCTGAATTTTAGGCTTACTTGAAAAACATCTCAGAGCAAAAGCTTTGACTTTAATATGGTCACTGGATTTTTTTTAAGTTATTCTATAAATAGTGAATGTTGGGAGAAATGAAACTAATTTCCGTGATCTGCCCTGGGCTAGGAGCTAAAATCCAATGAGGCTGGGGACTAGATTCCTTCTGCCTCTTTTGAAATGCTAGCCATTCCTTGAGATCTCTTTCTTGGTCACCACCCAGTGTGAGCCCAGCAATGAGCTTGAATCTCCACTCTGCCACTTTTTAACCTTGGAGAGCAGAGACACCTGTGGGGACCTTGATGTCGTAGAAAGTAGGTCAGCGGAATTCACTCAGCTGTAGCTTGATCTCTTAGAGTGAAGGCAGGCGTTCCTCTCTCCTACACACAGTTTGACTAGAAGACAAGTGTGTGGAGACATGCTCTTGAAATAGAGGTGTGCTGCCTAGTTCTTTGGAAAATAGGTATTTCTTTCAACAAGTGTACTGTGAGCATCATAAAAAAAATTATCACAAAATAAATTTGTATTGGGCTAGATTTGTGTACATTACAGAATCAGACCAAAATACAGCATGTCTAAAAATCCCCCAAATCTGAGCTGAGTGTGATGACATGTGCTATAATCCCAGGGACTGAATGAAATTAGTTACGCAAGTTCAAGGCTAACCTGGGCTACATAGCACATTTCAAGGCAATCTGTGCTACATAGTGAGGCCTTGTCTCAGAAAAACCAAATCTTCAGCATCATATATTGCCTGCCTCTTCTGGAGGGACCAGAGTTTGATCTCAAGTCCTTAAAGCATGTGAAACATGCACTCCACAACTGAGCTACCACCAGTCTTTGAAAAGCATGTTTTCAGTGCTGCAGGATGCTTAAATGTTAAGAAGTGATAATATTTTTTCATTACTTGATATCATGAATCTGTGTGTAAATACATTTCTTCATTACTCTAGATGCTACGTGTCTGTGTGTAAATAGACATATACACAAATCTTAAGCATGCACATGTCAGTGTATACATACATAAACACACACACAAAGATTAAGTGTGAAGTATTAGTGAACTTATACATATGTGGAACAGCAGCTTTGCCCAGCAAAAGTTCCTCCCTCACCAGACTTCCCAGTGCCCCTGCAAAGGGTAGGCCCACACCTCCAGCTGGGGACAGCCAGTGAAAGATTTTTAAATGTCCTGAGTGAAAGCGTGAACAGCACTGCAAGATTCTTTAGGGTATTTTTCCTTCCTCCCTTCTCGGTCCACACATCTATGAGAGACTGGCTGGGCAGAGCACAGCTACCTCTGCATGGGACCTGTAGTTTGAGTGGCACTTACTCTTTTTTGCAGCTTATTTGTTACCAAAACAAACTCTTCTAACTAACGCTAAACATTTTGATATTAGAATGCAAATAGAGGGACTGGAAATGTGGGTCAACAGAGTATTTGATGCCTTTCCAGAGGATCCTAGTTAGTTTTCCAGCACCTATATTGGGCAGCTAGCTACCTCCTGTAACTCTAGTTCCAAGGACTCTAGTGCCCTCTTCTGGCCTCCAGGTATAATGCGCGCGCGCGCGCGCGCGCGCGCGCGCGCACACACACACACACACACACACACACACACACACACACTCACATAAAAAAATCTTTCAATAAATAAATAAAATACAAATTGGCTATATAAATATGTAAAATCAAAGCCAAATCTAATAGATTTTGTAGGATGCAAAGGAAGTCCTGAGTGAGTGTGTGCCGTTGACATGGGCACAACCATGTCAAGGACCCCAAAGCCTTAGACCCTTGGGAAAATGGCAAAGACCCAAGGTGAATCTCCAAGAAATGTTCAGCTTTGCTCCAGGACTTGAGTGTGGGGGTGTTGATAGTGTGTGCAGAAAATGCCCACCACAGTGTTCTCTCTTCACTCCTGGATATTTATGGCCGGAAAACTGTTCCCATTCAGAGACTGCTCCAGTTGAGACTAGCTAAGCCTGTCGACTTGACCCAGCTATGTGCCATAAACCCTGCCTCCTTGTTTATCTGTATATTGTAAACATATATAGTGAGTTTCCGGGATGCTGCGGCTTCTCCAGTCAAGAACCCAGATCACTCAGTCCCACCTTCCAGTCCATTTCTACCTTTCTTCATACTCCCGCCACTCCAGACAGGTTCATCATGGAGCTGAGCTAGTTGTCAGAAATACCAATAATAAATTTACTGTATATTTCAAAAATTGCTGAAGCCAAATGTTCTCACTAAAAAAAAAAAAAAGATAATATGGATGCATTAGCTAGCTTAATATAATTGTTCCACAATGCACACATAGGCCAAAGCATCACATTGTACCCCACACAGTTATACAATTAGTAGTCAACTAAAGATAATACTTTTTTGTACATTTATTTATTTGGGGTGGAGAGTGTATATGTGTCATACTGAGAGTATGGAGGGAGGCAGACAACTTGTTCAAGTCATTTCCCTCTTTTCACCTCGTGGGTTCCAGGGATCAAACTCAGGTCCTCGGGGTTGGTAGCAAGCACCCTTGTCCACCCAGCCATCTCCATGTAGATTTCTTTCGCACCTTTAGCTCAAGGAAGGTCATGTACTAGGTAGGAGCTAGGAACATTGCTTTGTTCCCACTGTTCTTTATTACAGCGTGGTTTCTAAAGGCAGTGTGTACTAGGTGCTAAGTGTCGGTTTCCTGAAGGAAAAGGTAAAGGAAACAAGATAAAGAAAAGAATACCTAGCCATGTTGACCGGGTTCCAGAGAAAGTTATCAGCATCATAATTGTCAGGAGTCTTCCGTTCCGTCTGTGCTCACTGCTGTCACTGCCAGGAGCTCTATTTCCACGTCACCCCTGTTAGCAGAGGGTGGGTCCCACTGCCGCCAAAGCAAGAGCCAAACTCCAGCTCGATCTCTCTTCACGCACCCGCCCTTGCAGCCTCTGGGAGGTGAGAAAAGCCACGCTGCCTACGGGGCCAACCCTAGAGGGAAGGCCTGTATTAAAGAGCTAAGCCTGAACCGTAGTTGAGAGCACAAAGCTGCTCTTTGCTGTCTGGCTTCTTTTCCTCCCCCCCACCCCTTCTGCCGTGCTCGGATCGGGTTTCTAGTGATTTAAAGCAAGTGCACAGAAACCAGGCAGTCAGAGCAAAATAATTGCAGGTTTGGGGTTGTTAGCATGCTCTGCAATTGCTGGAATAACCCTGAGTTAAGGGGGGAGACGCAAAGAATTCTACTTATTGACTTCCCAGAGCACAGGATCAGTTGGAGTTGCCTTGCATATGCCCTGCAAGACAATCAGCTACCTAGGAGAGACTCAGTGCAGGCATTAAGTTTTTATTCAAAAATCTATGGCTTGTTGAGCATTCAGCACCCCCACACGCACAAACACATGAACACACAGGGTAATTATAGGCTACAGAGTGGGAGACATTGGAATTGTCTACAAAACAGTTTATAAAGTTTTAAAATAACAGGGGCACGAATGTGCATATGTTTGCACAAAACAAACAATGTGGATGATGGGATGAACACATTCTTTCTTCTTTTGCTGCCTCGTGTCCACCTCCAGAATTTAGAGCATGGGCATGCGGGAGGAACCCCTCCCCTGCTCTGTGATGCCTGCGTCTAAGCAGTCCTGCTCATTTATCCTATGCCAGCTTATTGTTGCACATCAAAATACAGACCCTCAGGTGTGGGGATGGAGTGGCTGATGAAGTGGGCTGCTATCTAATTAGTTTCATGAAAAGCTTCTTTTGTGGCATCACAGAAGCAAGGGAAATAAAAGAGGCCCTCGCTGCCTTCCAGAAGTCTGAGAGATGAGCTTTCTACAGATTAGTGTTCCAAAGTGGAGGGACATTTTTTTCCAGCCCTTTCAGAAGTCTCCTCCCGCACAGCTTTGCAAAGATTTCTGCTCTGCTCCCCTCCGGATTTCATTCATTTATTTATTTTCTAATGTGGAAGGGCAGCCTCTCACCTCCAGCCTCAGAGCCAATCAGGCATCTCATTCTGCAGGCTTAGGTCCATAGCAGCGAAGGCAATGCCTGTGCTGGCCACTCTGAACCCTGTCCTGACAACAGTCAGACTGGCGACTGACTGACGGCTGGAGGGGACTCTGTCATCTAAGGCGCCACTGTGAGAGCCAAGGACTGAACAGAAGGACCAGCCTTGCTGTCAAGAAGTGCTTTGCCTCTGGTGATCGATGGGGACAGTTAGGAGCTTCTCGGTGGCTGGAAAAGGTGGTTCTGGCACTTACTCGTTAAGAAGTCTTTGTGGGCAGATGACTCTCCTGGGCAGTGAGTGACATAATGCAGATGATATATGACAGCTTTGCATTTTATGCTGCTTGGTAGAGAGTAAGAGATGCAGGTGATTAAGGCTTCACTAGGCTGCCCTGCACCAGCCACTCTACACACGCAGGTGCACTTTCCCAGGGGCCGGCTTCTCTCATCCTTTAGTCTAGTTGGGGATTTTTAAAGAGAAGAAATGATGTACTAGCCACTATTTGTCCAGCCACTTAGGAAATGGAGATGCTTTCTGAGTCATTGATCAGCAGTCCTGTGCGCTGCCCTCTCTGCCTTTTGCAGGAGGAGGAAAGAACGTCAACATGCCACGTGCTACTTGAAAACATGAACTCACATCAAAAGTCTGTTTTGAAACCCTTGACTGATGCTGCCTTTGTATTTTTCCCCTCTCTCCTTTCTAGGACTCCATCTGCAGATGTTCTGAAAATCTCTGAGTCTAGAAATTGATTATTCAACCAGGATACCTAATTCAAGGTATTAGCTCTTGTCAGAAAGCTTTTACAATTGAGCTCGGTGCTGCAAACGACACTTTGGCAGTGGATGGAAACAGGGAGAGTTGGACGGAGAATAAAGGACAAAGGAGATTTTGCAAAATAATCAAGTCCTTAGAAACCTCCCCTGTGCGAGTGAGGTTTGCTCCTGACTCCCGAGCAGCCCTGTGCTGGCAGCCTGAGTTTCAGCTCTGGCTCATTTGTAGCCCTTTTGCTACAACTGTGTTTGGGGTTTGGATTTCATTTTCATTCCCCCCCCCCTTTCCCTTTCTCTCTCGACACCTCCCCCATTCCCTACCCCCCAACTACCAGAACTCAGAAGACAGACGTATTGTCAGCCTTGCAACATTGGACCAAGTACAATGAAGCCTTCTTGCTGGGCTCTGCTGCTGGCTCTTCTGGGCACAGAGATGCTGGGGAGCCTGGGTTCCACCGTGCGGTCCCAGAGGTTCAGAGGGAGGATACAGCAGGAACGGAAGAACATCCGACCCAACATTATCCTTGTGCTCACCGATGACCAGGACGTGGAGCTGGGTGAGACTCTCGATTTTTCTTTGACTCGTCAATCTTTTTTGATTTAGATGCTTTCCAGAGCCTCGGTTGTATCAGAGGTACTTTAGGAGCTTGATGCTTTGCTGGCTGTCTCTGACAATCCTTTAGTTGACACGGCGAACTTGTACTGACCATAAACCATTAGATTGGTTTCACAGTTACTTTTCTGGTATTACAATTTTAAAGCAGATTTTTTTAAAAAGGAGCCAGGAGAAGATGGAGGATGAGGGTAAGCCTGGGAAACCACAGAGGTCAAGGGCTTGATCTTTTACTTTGTAAATGCAGGACCCACAGCAGGGTAGCTCACTCCTATAATCTTAGTGCTTGGAAAGTAGAGATGGGAGAATCAAGAGTTCAAGGTCATTTTTAATTAACTACGTAGTAAGTTGGAGCCAGCCCAAGAAGTATAAGACCCTGTATCAAAAAGAAAAGAGAAAAAGGTGGGGAAAAAGTTAATTTATGAAATAGGAGTAAAGTGTGTCAAAGCTCATGAGAGTGTGACTTTCTCTGAATGTGTATAAAAGATTGATATAAAAAGAATTTTCTTTCTTTCTTTTGAGATAGTCTCAAGGTATAGTTCCAGCTGGCCTGGGACTCCTTATGTTGACCAGGCTGGCCTCAAACTCACAGAGATCTGCCTAACCCTGCCTTCTGGGTACTGGAATTAAAGGTATATACCACCACGCCTGGAACTAATACACATAGTCGGAACTTACCAGTGTTCTGTGCATCCTTATGCTAACTCACCACGCCTGGGTCTGTGCTTTTGGAAGTGTGTCTCCTGAGTTCATTCAAGAGCACTCAAATGAAGTGTGCTTGGGCTTAGTGGCGTTGGCTCATCTCTGACCTCCTGCTTTCTTAACAGCCCAGCCCTGGAGTCTTATCTTTATCTATAAGCTCTTAGCCAGGATCTTCCAGAATTCCCTAAAACAGATGCGAAGCTTTCCCCACAGGCTGTCATCTCCACTCCCCACTACCCCTCCTGTAGCCCCATTCCTTGCCCCGGGGCATTGATCAAGTGCGCCTACCTGTGCTGCTCAACCTGAACATGGGGGAGGATTTGAGGGGAAACTCCCAAGGTTTGGTCTTGAGGATCAGACCATGGAATCACAGCAAAGTTAATTGCTGGGTTTCAACTGGGAGCTGGTGTACTAAAGGCCAGCAGGGGAAACCATCTCTGAGTCTGCTCTCTGGTTTCACATTTAACAAAAAGGAAAGGGTATATTGATTTTCAGGGATTTTTTTCTATGAAAGGTCATGCACGTACAGCTTTAGGGTGTATGCTTCTGGGTATTTAAATGCCTTCATTCACTTACAGGGCAAGAAAATGTAGGGCTCGTCCCTGACTTCATCTTCCTTCACACACGTCTCGCATCCCTCATGCAACTGAGATCTCTAGACCCTTCCTCCTTGTTTCTCCAGTTTCTCGGACCCTTCATGCTCAGTCTACATCCCATGGCTAGAGTTACCTTTGAACTATCATATCCGGTCACTCTTTGGTTAAAACCCTTGAGTGACAGACCTTCTTCCTGTTTTCTCTGTAAGCAGGTTAGCTGAGGCCTCCCAGCCCCAGTGACTCTCAAGGGTTCTTCCATTCCCCTAATGCCTCCCTCAGTGCATCAAGAAGCAACTTTTGCTTACTGAAGCATGTGTTGGTCCCCATTCCCTTCTCCCATCCCATGTTTTTGTCTTACTGCCTCTACTTCTCTGTAGATGTAACCAACCGTCTTATTAAATAAGAAACACAGAACCAATGCAAAGAAGAAAGCCAAGAGGTCAGAGCTAAGAGCTAAAAACCTTACCCTTCCTCTCGCGGTGGTCCTACCTCTCCAAAAGAGACCTATTTCCTGTGTGTCTATCTTTATAAAGACTTTCTGTTCTGCCTTCTCGTTGGTTGTAAACCCAACCACATAACCACCTTGTCACTGCCTGTCTGTACAGACCTCCAGGTCTTCTATGGTTGGTACTGAGATTAAAGGCGTGTGTCTCCAATGCTGGATGTGTCCTTGAACACACAGAGATCTACCTAGCTCTGCCTACCAAGTGCTGGGATTAAAGGCATGCACCACCACTGCCCAGTTTTCCTATGGCTTGCTAATAGCTCTGACCCCCAGACAACTTTATTTATTAACATACAAATAAAATCACATTTCAGTACAAGTAAAATATCACCATATTCTCCCCTATACCTATCTGGTGAAACACTACTTGTTCATGAGCAGCTCAGGTGCCCCACACTTGAGTTTGGTGTTCCACCCCAAACCACCACCACCCCGCCCATCAGAGGATGTTTTCCTTTGCACACCCTTCGCCATGTCTCCAGGATACCTTTCTAAGCCTGTCCCTCCCACACACCCAGAGGTGAGGGCTGCTTTTTTTATCTACAGTCTAGACTATAACAGGTGTTCAGCAAACTTTGGATAGATACACATTGGTTCTGAAATAGATAACCTAACTCCCAGAAAGGAATGCAGGTGTCCATCATGTCCTTTCTCTTCAACACTACAGTCCTGGCTTAAAAATAAATTAAGAAAGAATTATCTGCTACTCTTATTTTAAAATCAAATTCAAGTTTTCTGTTTTGTCCTACAATAGTTCTCTAGTGAATATTTAGAGTAATTACTGAGTACTGAATTCTGAGTACTGAAAGTCCATAGTTTTCAACTTAAACTGATATCTAATTACATAATTACTGGAACATAATTAATCAAATGTGTATCATCGTTTAGCATCAATATTTACTGATGTACACAGTTTGGAATTTTGTGGAAATTTCAGCACTTTAGTCTATAATCTTTATAGTCTTGAATGAATAGCCTTGTTTTGTGAAAATTTTGGGGAGGCCTTGTGCCAACTTCATTATGAAAATAATACAGATCTTGGCCTCCAGGTGCCATGTGGTTTAAAAAAAAAATACAGTGGCGGGTCTGGAGAGATGACTCAGAGGTTAAGAGCACTGGCTGTTCTTCCAGAGGTCCTGAGTTCAATTCCCAGCAACCACGTGATGGATCACAATCATCTGTAATGAGATCGGGCACTCTCTTCTGGCATGTAGTTTACATGAAGGCAGAACATTGTATACATAATAAATAAATAAATAGATCTTTTTTAAAAAAAAGGAAGACAGAAAAAGATAGAGTGGTAAACCCGACCCAGTCAAGGTCCAGGTGTTAACTGCAACTTCGGACTTGCCCTTACCCCCCTCATTTTCCTAGCCAGATGACATGTCAAGCATTCACCCACTTAATTTTCCCAGCAATCCTTGAAAGGCACTGCTCTCACTCCCCTAGTTTGTGCACAGCAAAAGAGATGGTTTAGAGAAGTTGTGGCCGGTAGACACTGGAACTGGGACCTGTCTTAGGTTGTCACGGCTGCAGGCTGAGCTACCATCTGCCATCTGTTGGTCCATAAATGGACATTCACTAAGACCTTCCTAAAAACCAACCTGTCAATTCCCAGTAGTGCTCTGGGGGAGAGACACACAGACTCAGAAGAGGGGTCCTGTCTCCCACGGTGTACCCAGTGATTAGGGAGCACAGCCATGCATGGATCAGGTGTTCACAGGAGACCTTTCTCAGCAGAGAAGCTGTGACTTAGGTGGTGGTTATTGCTTGGTCCTGGGTGGCACATGTAGTTCTTTCGAACCTCACCATTATAGCTGTTCTTTGTTTTTACTACTATCACCATTTTTAACCAGTTTGGTCTGTTAAGTACTCCCATATTGCTGTGAAAGAAATCCCCAGAACACTTTTCACAGCCCAAACCATGGAACAACTCCCTGTTTGAACTTCCTCTCAGCCCTGGCAGCCACCATTATACTTTATGTCTCCAAATTTTCCTCCTCTAGATAGCTTATGAATAGAATCATATATCTGAAATTTTGTGACTGCCTTCAATTCACACAGCGTAGTGTCCTCTGGTCCATCCATGCTGTACCATGTGTGAGAACTTCCTTTCTAGGGCTGTATAATATTCCATCCAAGTATACCACATGAATCACACTTGTTTTAGCTGTATGCTTACTGTTGGGAATTTGAGCTGTTTCCTTCTTTTAGTACAAGTGAATATTACTGCTACGAACACACATGTGTATGTATCTTTAAGACCTGGCCTTGAATTCCTTTGCAAAGGAGAAGACCTACCGGGGAGTGGGATCCATTGCTGAATCATAATTTAATTTCATTTTTAATGTTGTGGGAAATAACAGTGTTCTCCATAGCAACTGCACCATTTTACATTCCTTCCCACTGTGTACCAGAGTAAAATTCCTCCAGATCCTTGTCGACGAATGTCATGTTTCTGTTTGTCTGTGCTTGTGTTTGTTTGTCCAGTGTGCAAGGCGGCATCTCATTGTGATGTGGACGAGTTGCAGTTTATGGTTTTTACTTTTCCGTGTGAGTATGTCAAGTGCTCTGAGAGGTGATTGCTTTGGGAAAACTTTTTTTCTCCTGGAGGCTCCAAGCAGTTGGCTGCTGCACCTCCAGAAAGCTGTTACACACTTAGAAAACACTTTTAAGAAAAATTATGACATTTTTAATAGAACATTTTTCTTATTTGGAAAGAATGAAACCATCCCGAGCCTGCCTGGAAAGACAACGAACTGAGCAGGGCTCTGATTACAGTTTAAAAACGAAGCTGGGAGGGCAAGGCACGCATTCAGTTTGTCCTCAACTATCGGGGCAAATAAATAAACTAATGCTCTGTAAAGCGCAGAAGACACACGAGGAACTCATTAACGAAACTGCTGGACCCTTACATGTGGTGCCAGAGAACACCCGTCTACACTGCTGTGAATGAATCATGTCATCCCACCCAGGTGGGCGGGATGGACAGGGATCAGCATCCCAGGAGGAAATGGCGGTGGGGAGAAGTCACAGCTCAACTCAGCATCCTCTGACTGGCACCTGCTTCTTCCAGAATTCGGGAAGCCCCTGATTTGGCCCTGATTCTAACGATGCAGGTGCATAGGAGAAGGAGGAAAA